ATGAAACGCTGTCCTAGATGCCAGATGTACAATGACCTTCATTTGCAGCTAAACAAGAGAATAGAGGAGGAGATAGACATGTAGAAATAAGTGATGAAAATTCAGTGTTACTAAAAATTCATTGCCACAATAGAAGTGCAGCACATTCTGATGGCTCTATTAAGAGAGACTCTCTTTTTTTTCTTTTTTTTTTTAATAAAACCTACTTACGATGCCCCTCACACTGAATATTCGTGGCCAGTAGGTTGTGCGCTTGTGGAATAGTCTCAAAAGTTGAGTGTGTTTGGAAAAATCTGAGATACAAGAAAAAATAATAGAACTTTCTTAGATCACCCTTTAAAATTTTCCATATTTTCTAATATTTTATAATATAAAAATAGAAAATTTTAGAGGCATATTATATTCATAGAAATGTGTACGTGTGTGTGTATATAAGTACATATTATACATAATACACATTTCTCAGTTAAACAGCAAACAGATATGGGATGCATGCTCAAAAATAACTATAAGGTGTACTGTTCACAAATTTGCCCACTTTTTAGGCCTGCCTGCTCACTTTTTATGGTTGATTTGCGTGCTACAAAGTGAGTCCGGGTTATTCCTTCCCAACCTGTTTGTCAGTAATACTTGTAATTAGTTGCTATAATTTCATTAAATTTTATATGAGCCAATGAAATACTGTTTTAAAAAGAAAAGTCTGAAAACTGAGTTGGGCAGACTTGTGTATAGTTCAAATTGGACAGTTTGTTTTATTGGGTTGTTCTTTTATTTCATTGCTGTCAGCTTTAGAGTGGGCAAGATATCTATGAATAGTTGAGAGAAGTAAAAATGTAGAATTCTGGCTTAGTCTGGTTTGCAGAAATCTAGGTTCTTGCTCGGCCTTAAAAGAGTCTAAAATTGGAAATCAAAAATGTTATGAGTATGATTCATGCAGTGACAGAGACATGGAACTTCACTCAGTGGAACTAAACTCAAACAAGATGGGTGAATGAATGTACAGTCAATCCTTTTTATTCAGACAGAGTAGTTATGTTATATAGAGTCACTGGGAATACAGAATTAGTGCATACTGAACGATCGTTCCTACAGAAAATACAGGGTCACAACATTTTCATCAGTTGATCTATTACTTTGTTTTAAGTGTATTTCTTTTTAAAGACACCTTATTTAGTAAATAGTATTGACATATTAACGTTGAAATCACAGCCAACAGCACTGCAACTTATACCTGAACGAAGCTTATCTAATGTATCTTTTCTCCATAAGGCACATTACAGCCTTCTTGCACTTAGGTACATTAGACAGCACTACAGCACTGTGCTTGGGGACCATTTTCAACAGCAGAATTACCAACAAAAAGCAACAAAAAACAACTAAATAGACTGTGGCGCTAAATAGACTGCAAGAAAGACTCGTTGACAGTATGAGAGCTGAAATAAGAAGGCAGAGCATTTCCTGGTGCGACTTCAGCTGGGAATGTGTGCATAGGGCAACCCAGATTTTTCACTGTGCTGGGCATGTCCACAAACAATCGAAAAAGTGCTTGCTATGAGTAGTAATTTGGGGCTTACGAATAAATTTTAACAAATAGGCAGATTCACAAATACAGAACCCACAAGTAATGAGGATCACTGTATGTGTTTATTTAACTGTATACGTTAAATAAAATAATTAAGGTGTGCATGAATTATGAGCCCTCCCCCCTTTTTCTTGCCTTTGATTAATGAGCCCCTCTCTGCAAGGCAGCGTAAGCTCTGCTGTCTTCATAGGGGAAAGGTAAGCTGGAACAGGCCTTGACCTTCAGGTGTGATTGATCACACACAATCACTGATTCTTACTAATGATGTTTGTCTCACTGGGTCGTTAGGATGGAATGAGCTTAGATATTTGTTGCAATGTCCCAGTATCCAAGACAGTGCTGGTCACTGGTAAACTTTAATTTAAAACATTCTGCAAATGTTATACACAAAATGTACGTAGGCAGTGCTAATTATGAATTTGGGAAGTGTGAGTGTAGGCTTAGAGGGGAAGATGCCTGTAGAGCCTACTGGGTGACAGCTCTCTACTGCCTGTACTTGCCTATGCTTCTTTACTTCTTTCTCCTACTCTCATTTTCCAGGGAAGGCACAGACCAGCATCCATCTTCCACAGCTCCCCAGACCTCACCTGCTTATGCCTCAGATAGGACAGAGGGGAAGGGGAAGGGAGAGAGAAAATCTGGACTATCTCCAGGTCATGTAGCACCAAACCAGATGGGCCATAGGCTTGACCTCCCTGTTTATCCTAGGTGGCTCTCTCTGCAAGCCTGTGGGGCCTTCTGAGCCCTGGGCTCAGCACCTCCCTCCAGACCCCTGGCCCCTCCACTTTTCCAAGAGGCTCTGATTGTCCAGTATGCTTGCTAGGGAAATGGGCTCCTTCACACTGCCTGTGCCACAGTGAGACAGTGTAGGGACTTCTCTTCTGGAGTTTTTATAAATTGAGTACCCCCCACACACACACACATACACCTTCTGAACATAGTGGTTTGGACATTGTTAAAACTTGAAGAGGCAAAAAGTCAACCCACTGTCACTAGCTATCTGTAATGAGATCTTTCTTTTAGATGTATTAAGAAACATTTCAAGCATAAGTAGAAATAGAATAGTCTAATGATCCCCCACACACTCATCACCCAGTTTCAGAAATTATCAACTCACAGCCAATTGTTTCATTTCTTCCCCACCTCAGATAATTTCAAAACCAATCCCAGGCAACACATTTCATTTATAAATACTATATATATCTGTAAAGGGAAAGGACTTTTTTCTTAAAGCATACCCAAAATACCATGATCGTAACTAAAAAGTGAACTGTAATATCTTAATATCTAATATCTGGTTAAATGATAAATTTCCCCAATTCAGATGTTTCTCTACTTTCATCCTTTCAATTCAGTACAGAGCTTTCAGCTGACCAGTGGTGTGATGATGGGTTGATGACCGCGTGCAATGTGCATTTGAACTTGAGCCTAGGACTAGAGTCAAGGTGATAGAAGAGAAAGAGCACCCTATCCAGGGCAGTAGGAAAGGACAGAGCAGTTGTGAGGCCCAAAGAATGGCAGCCCCCTGGAGCATGCAGTGTGGGACTTGGATACATTCCAGCCAGGAGAGCCTAGCCCAGAGTGGCTGCAGCCATTCAACTTCCCTACTTAACTGTCTCATAGCCTGTGATTTAGCCCTCTGGTACATTTGGCAGGGAATAGTTCCTGTGGTTTGGGGTTCGTTTTCCCAGAGCATGGCCTACAGGGATTGCCATGGAAAGGAGCCAGGAGAGGGAGGGAAGTTGCATTGTCTTAGCCCAGGGCTGTGAGAACTTTGATTACCTGAAGGTGTTCTGGGCTCTCTGAAGCCATCTCCTCCCCAGAGCCTTTATCACAGTTGACGAGCTTAAGAATAATTCCCTCAAAAGGAGTTTTGAGCTTTGAGTGGCTCTGAGGAACCTAGTATTCTAAATTTAATTGAACGATGACAGGAATCTTGATGACAAGATGCAGCCAAGTTAGCAGGAGAGATAGGAGAGGCAGATACACAACAAGACTGCATTGGCTGTATCCTGCCACAGCATGATAAGGGGAGCAGAGTTGCACATACTTGACACTTCTTTCTTTCATCACCAGATGAAAATGAGCTCAGCTGCTTTACGGGTGATTTTGTTATCTTTATTTTCAGAGAAGAATTTCAAAGCAAAAAAAAGTTTCCATTAAGGTGTGTGCAGTATGACCTTGAGTAGGTTGCTTTACTTCTCTGTGCCCCAAGTTCTTTCTCTATAAAACAATAAGATCTTCCTTAAAAGATTTTGGGAGGGCCAGGTGTGCTTGTACATGTAAATACTGGAATGATGCTTGGCACATGGCACTGCGGTCATGGAAATGTACTAGGTTGGCACTACTCGACATGATAGCCCATGAAATGAGGCTAATGTGATTGAGGAAATTTAAATAGCCATATGTGGCTCTAGTGACTCCTGTATTCAGTGCCAGTCTGTGGGTCGTTGATAATATCCTAATGATTGTGTAGTTTTTAAGATGATGTTTCTCAGCGAAGAGCTAGAAGACGACGCTCATGTGAAAAGTAGAGAAAATATTTTAAAATGGGGTTTGTTATGCATCTGGGTGTGGCCTAGGACATTTAAGATGGAGGAGGTCATCTCTAAAGTAAAGTATAATCTTTAGAGGGACTGCATTTGTGGGATCTTTCTAGGAAAGAGACATCCTTGTGATAGGTGAGGGTAGAGTATGAACAGGGCTCACATTTCATCTTTGCATCTTACCTGCTTTTATGTGACCTCGGCCTTAGTGTTTTCATCTGTAAAATGACCGTCAGGATACCTGCCAACCTGCCAGGTCATGCCCACTGCCCCCTGTAGGGTGTCCTGCACTTAATGTGGGCTCTAAAGGTGGGAGCGCTGGTTATTTTTCAGATAATGATTGTAATGATAACAGAATTGAGTACATAATCACTGTCACATGCTGCTACTTCAGTTGGAGAATTTGATTATCATTTTATCCTGATCAGGTACCAGAGATGCTGATGTGATTGCTGCAGATGCTATGTAAATTTGTGTTTCTGACTTTTAAACATTTTTGATGATTAGAAGCCATTGAGCAGAAGGAAGGAGAAAGCCTTTGAAATGTAACTCTATGTGCCATAATTCAGATAAGAACAAAGTAGGCCTGCAACAGTGGTTATCATCTTGTACGCATCTGTACTGTCTGCAAAGATTGGATATCTAGAAGTTGGTAGGATATAAAATTTTTTTTAAGGGAGGGTTTTTTTTTTACTGCTAACTGTGAGCATACTGGCTTCTTGATGTCATATCATTGTTACTTTTTATTTATTATAATTTGTTGTATTATTTGATTTTCATTTATAAATGAAGCAAAACAAAAAATAAGATAAATGGATGGGTGGAAATTCTGTCTTAGCTGCCTCCTTATATCCTGTCCTTTCTTCTCCCAGATGTGACATTTGCTGCATCACCTTTCGAACACATCGAGGATTGCTACGCCACAATGCGCTCGTCCACAAACAGCTTCCCAGAGATGCATTGGGAAGGCCTTTTTTTTTTTTCCTGCTGGCTTCCATGACTTAGGATTCACTGACTTTTCCTGTAGGAAGTTCCCTTGGATTTCTCAGGTATGCTGATTGGTGGGCAGAATTGGCCACCACCTCTGTGGTCCACATAGTTGGACTAAACTTCCTTACACTGAAGTATCCTTTCCTTAAAGTGTTGTTCGTTGAGTTTTGTTTTTTTTATAACACTTTTCCTCTTGAAATTCAGCTTGGCCTTTTTAGTTTTCATTGGGTGGTTGGGTTTCATATTCACTTGCATCTGAGTCTAGCTCATCAGTGCTTTTGCCTGTTCTTAGGATTTGGATTGTTGCCCCCACCATCCCAACCCTGTCAGAATTGAATTTGTACTTTTTAAATATCATTTTTACTTTTCATTTATTATAATTTGTTATATCATTTTATTTTCATTTATAAATGAAGCAACAACAAAAAAATAAGACAAATGGATTGGTGAAATTCTTCAAGTGCATAAGTCTCAAGCTCAATGAATTATTCCGCGTATGTGTGCTTATATGTAGGCACACGTGTACACTCATGTAATCCCCGGGTGGCACACCCTCGTGCCCCTTCCCAGTCCATGCCTGCTTACCCAGTATAACAGAGGTACTTGGTTCTCCACTGATGGTAGGTAGTCCCCATCAGTTAGTTTTGCAGGGTACCTAATCTTAAAAAGGAAATCTTACCTTCGTGGTAGTATTACTTAACCATACTTCATCGCTTCTCAGTAGAGAAGCAGAGAACCACTGCATCGCTTCTCTGCTGAGATACTTTGGGAGTTGATGCCATTCATCAGGCAAACAGGATTCTTAAGATGCTTTGTGGTTCTTATCCTTTGTGGGAGTTAGCAAGCAGGGAAAGGTCAGCTCTTTATATGTTATGGAGAAAGGCTGGACACTGGGGCAGTTGTACAACAGATATTTCCTGCATCTCAGTTTAGTGATGATTTTTAAATCCTCCTCTTTATTTCCTTGGTTTTGCTGACCCGGTTTCCTTGCAGGCCTGGTGTGAAACAAACCTGCGAAGGTGCATCAGCGAGCAGCACCGTTTTGTCTGTGACATCTGCGACAAGGCGTTCCCCATGCTCTCCTCACTCGCCCTGCATAAGCAGACCCACGTCGCTGCGGACCAGGGGCAGGAAAGGCTGCAAGCTAAGACCCTGCCTGGTGACGCCCTGGACCAGAAGGTCTTCCTGGCCTTGCTGGGCCTGCAGCACACCAAAGACATCAGGCCCGTCCTGGTCGAGGAGCCCATAGCAGATGACAACCAAGCAATACAGCTCCAGACACTGAAGTGTCAGCTACCTCAGGACCCCGGCTGCACCAACATGCTGAGGCTGTCTCCTTTTGAAGCTGCTTCCCTGGGTGGCTCGCTCACAGTGCTCCCGGCTACCAAGGAGAGCATGAAGCACCTGTCCCTGCAGCCCTTCCAGAAGGGCTTCATCATCCAGCCCGATAGTAGTATTGTGGTCAAGCCCATCTCTGGCGAGTCTGCCATTGAGCTGGCTGACATCCAGCAGATCCTGAAGATGGCAGCCTCAGCGCCCCCTCAGATCAGTCTTCCGCCTCTCTCCAAGGCCCCTGCCACCCCTCTACAGGCGATTTTCAAACACATGCCCCCTCTGAAGCCAAAGCCCCTGGTCACACCTCGGACGGTGGTGGCCACCTCCACGCCCCCTCCTCTCATCAATGCCCAGCAGGCCTCCCCGGGCTGCATTAGCCCCAGCCTGCCCCCGCCGCCCCTGAAGCTCCTCAAAGGCTCGGTGGAGGTGGCGTCCAGTACCCACCTGCTGCAGTCCAAGTCCGGGGCCCAGCCAAACACGGCCATGCAGCTCTTCCTGCAGCAGCCACGAGTGGAACTGCCAGGCCAGGCCGAGATGAAGACGCAGCTGGAGCAAGACAGCATCATTGAGGCCCTGCTGCCCCTGAACATGGAGGCCAAAATTAAGCAGGAGATAACGGAGGGGGACCTCAAGGCCATCATGACGGGCCCCAGCAGCAAGAAATCGCCGGCCATGCGCAAGGTGCTCTACCCCTGCCGCTTCTGCAACCAGGTGTTCGCCTTCTCGGGGGTATTGCGCGCGCATGTGCGCTCCCATCTGGGCATCTCGCCATACCAGTGCAACATCTGCGACTACATCGCCGCCGACAAGGCCGCGCTCATCCGCCACCTGCGCACACACAGTGGTGAGCGGCCCTACATCTGCAAGATCTGCCACTACCCCTTCACCGTCAAGGCCAACTGCGAGCGGCACCTGCGCAAGAAGCACCTCAAGGCCACCCGGAAGGACATTGAGAAGAACATAGAGTACGTGACGAGCAGTGCGGCCGAGATGGTGGATGCCTTCTGCTCCCCAGATACCGTGTGCCGGCTGTGCGGAGAGGACCTGAAGCACTACCGCGCCCTGCGCGTCCACATGCGCACACACTGTGGCCGCGGCTTGGGCGGTTGCCCCAAAGGCCGCAAGCCCTTCGAGTGCAAGGAGTGCAGCGCCGCCTTCTCAGCCAAGCGCAACTGCATCCACCACATCCTTAAGCAGCACCTGCACGTTCCGGAACACGACATTGAAAGCTACATCTTGGCAGCCGATGGCCTAGGCCCCAAGGAGGCCCCGATGGCTGAGGCCTCTGGAAGGATGGAGGAGAGAGACGGGGCCTTTGGAGAGTTAAAGCCCCTTGCCACCTTCCTGGAGTCCCAGAATGGCTATCTTCATGGAGGCCCCACCCAACCACCGCCTCACCACGTCTCTGTCAAATTGGAGCCCGCCAGCAACTTCACAGTGGACTTTAATGAGCCCCTGGACTTTTCCCAGAAGGGCCTGGCCCTGGTCCAAGTAAAGCAGGAAAACGCAGCCTTATTTCTGAGCCCCTCTTCTTCAGCCCCCTATGACTATTCCATGGAACCCATTGACCTGTCCATCCCCAAGAACTTCAGGAGAGGAGACAAGGATTTGGCTGCTCCCAGTGAAGCCAAGAAGCCTGAGCAGGAACCAGGGAGTAGGGAGCCACCCTCCCCCTGTCCACCACCATGCCCAGCCCTGCCAGTGACCTTGGGGCCCAATGGGATCCTAGAAAAACCTGTGGCCTCTGCAGGAGCAGCAGCTTTGGCAGCCAGCACTCTGGAAGCCCATGCTCAGCCCCTGCAGGGCTCCGTTCAGCTTGCTGTCCCCATTTACTCATCAGCCCTCGTCAACAGCTCCCCCATCTTGGGCAGCTCCACTCTCATAAGTAGCCCAGCCTTGTTGCGGCCACTGCGCCCCAAGCCCCCCCTGCTCTTGCCAAAGCCCGCCGTGGCAGAAGAGTTGCCCCCACTGGCCTCCATTGCCCAGATCATCTCATCCGTGTCCTCGGCCCCCACCTTGCTGAAAACCAAGGTGGCTGACCCAGGGCCTACAAGCACCAACAGTAACACCACAGCTTCAGACAGCTTAGGAGGCACCATCCCCAAAGCTGCCATGGCTCCCACTGATATCACCAGCCGAAAAGAATCCAGCGACTCACCCCCTGCTGTTAACAGTCCAGAGGCAGCCTCGCCCACTGAGCAGGGGCCAGCTAGTTTGTCAAAGAAGAGGGGCCGGAAAAAGGGAGTGAGGAGTCGGCCCCGTGCCAGCAGTGGCGGGGTGGACCTGGATTCTAGTGGCGAGTTTGCCAGCATCGAGAAGATGCTGGCCACCACGGACACCAACAAGTTCAGTCCATTTTTGCAGACCACGGAGGATGATGATGCTCAGGATGAGGTGGCCGGTGCCCCCACTGACCAAAATGGACCCAGTGATGAAGAGCAGGGCAGCCCCCCAGAAGACAAGCTGTTGAGGGCAAAGCGGAACTCCTACGCCAACTGCCTGCAGAAGATCAACTGTCCCCACTGCCCCCGCGTCTTCCCTTGGGCTAGCTCCCTCCAGAGGCACATGCTCACACACACTGGTAAGAAGGCCTGCCAGGCCATGAGTGCTACTTCCCAGCAGGGAGCCTGGCCCCTGGCCAGAGTGAGGGAGAACAAGAAGGGGGGTCGAAAGCATGGGGCCCTGCGCTCAGGTAACCAGAATGACCTGTTCATATTGTCTGAGCCCTCGGGGGGCTGCTGGTGAAGGGAGGTGTTAAAAGTAAAGTGTTTTTAGGTGAAAAATGGTCTTAGGCCCATAGGTTCACTCACTGGATCCACCCTACCTCTTCTGGAGAGGGTAGCAAGATTATCCACTTGATTACTCACAGCAGACAGCTAGAGAGAAGTAGAACTTCGTATCAGGATATTCGGCCAGGATTTTATAATAAATTGCATCTTGGTATTCTCAAGACATCTTTTAAAATTTTCAACATTCTGTGAAGTTCTTTTGACTGCCATGTATTTTTAAAGGGAAATATTACAAATTTTACAGTTATTTTTCAGTTTACTAAAGTGGTCACATCTTCCCCTGTTTATTGTGAAAATAAGTGATGAATAGTTCTAGAATTTCAAAAAAATTTTATTTGTACTAAAATTGTCAGCTGTTCTAGAGAAACACAAATATAATTAACAGACTTAAATTACCAAAATGTTAGCCGCAAAGTATCTTTTAAATGTAAATTTCCATATGTTCATTTTTAAAAAGAAGTTTAAGATAAATATACTTTAAAAAATTTTCTACCAGGTACTTTTAATATTCAAAAGACTATACAACTCTCATCTTAATTCTGTTACTGAATATTCACACAAGATTCATATCATTGAACTAAGATAAATTGGGTGAGATCCTTAACCTTTAGATAATATTTGGATAACCCAACTATTAATAAGGTATGACCTAAAACCAAATAAAGAATTATATGGTATAGAATTACCAGATAAAATACACAATGCCAGTTAAATTTGAATTTCAATTAAGTAACAAAAATTTTGTTAGTATACATGTTTTTCATGCAATATTTGGGGTAGATTAAAAATTTATTTGGTATTTATCAGAAATTCAAATTTAGCTGGGCAACCTGTATTTTTAGTTGTTTAGTCTGACAACCCTAGGTAATTAGGAGGCCTATGACGGTGTAGTGAGAGGAGGTGGTGGGAACTGGGTGTGAGCCACGCTGTGTACACAGGTTGAAATGCTTCAGTCAGAGTTGATCATCACTTGATGCTTTGGAGAAGCCAACAGAGGAAAGCTGTTGCTGTGAATGGGAGATGGACGAGAATGTGCAGAGAGGGGATGGGAAGGGAGCACAAGCTGTGGAGTTTCTCTGAGGCTGGTTGCCACACAGATGCAGCATTTCTCTCTGGTGTGGTGTAGGACCTTGCATCCAAGAATCCAAAGGTGACAGTCCAGCGTGCCTGTCCATAGAGGTCTCATTTAACCAGAACCAGAATTTCTAGATATGTAAAGTATATGCTGCATTATCAGGCCATCATTTTCTTTCCATTTAAAATCATTTAAGCCTGACGAAGTAAAATAACAGTTCTTATGAGGAAAGCAGTTCAGACAGGTTGCATCTTAAAGAGAAAGTGCCCCACACAGCCATCTCTCTTGCTACACCTATTTGTCGACTGCAGAGTCTGGAGAAGTACTTCTGTTCTCACTTTTCAGAAAGCCGAAGGTCTGGATCTGATGATGAGTGTCACTCTTGCCCTACCTCACCCTCCCCACTCCCACTGCCATCACCCAGCCTCCCTACCACCTTCCTCCAGCTAGGAGTCCTGTGCTTAGTAGATTGAGCCTGTGCACATTTTCCTCAGATAAGGCTATTCATTCCCAAACGTTCTTTTCCTGGTGAACCAACTGTCTCCTCAGGAGGGCTGGCATAGCCAGGATTCCTTTTCAAGAGTTGTGCCCATGTCTTTGCAGATGGCTGGTATAAGTTCCCCCTGTGAATCCAGTCATTTTGATTGCCTGGCTTTTGAATGCCAAAATTTCCTAGTTGGTTTAAAATTTGGTAGCATCTGAAAGCGGGCAAGAAAGATGGAAGGTTTGTTGAAGACAGGGTAGGGCAGAGTGGGTGTAAATAATAGAGATGTTCTCCTACCTCTCCCTTCACTGTTACTCTACCCTTGATGGCTGTATCCTGTATTTGTTTCAGCCCTGTCTCTGACATCCCATCATTACTATGTTCTTGTAGTGAATGGGTTATAGGCCTTGACCCATGAGGGAAATATTCAGGGTTGGTAGAGAAAACTTTCAGAGCCGGTCTTTTATGACCACCTCATGAGAGTAGTGGTGTCTGCATTTTGTCCTGAGGAAATGGAGGCTTAGGAAGACTGAGTAACTTGCCTATGATCATATGAACAGTGAGCAGTAGAGCTAGAGTTCAAAGCCAGGGTCCAGAAACCTGCAGCTGCCCCATGGTCAGGATGGTGTGGCTGCTGGTCCTCTATCTGAAGATGTACAGGGCATCCCTCCTTCCTCTCATATGTCCCATTGTGGAAGATTGGGAAGAGGTCTGAGAAAAAGGTAACATGAAGTTATGGACGAGAATACTATTAATCAGAGACTTAATGACTACGGAATGGCATTAGCCACACACATAAACATGAAGTTGGCGCTCACTGGGCTCTGTTAACTTCCTTTGTGTTTCACTGCTTCATCTTCCAGTGACAGTCTCAGCATCACCTCTGTTAAAATCATTTTATAGAGTGCTTGGCTATGTCTGGTGCTATGTTAGAACATTTTCTATTCAAGTGTGAGAGCTTGACAGAGCCTAGGAAGTCATCCGATCCACCCCCTCTTTCACAGACCAATGTTTTCCTGGTAGGCGACTCTGCTTTGAAGAATCTCTGAGCTGCCTGGCTCCCAGCTCCCCAGCTTTCTGTGACATGCTCCCTCCAGGAACTTTGAAATGAGACTAAGGCTCACACTAAGAGTAATTAAGAGAAATTGAACATGAATTCTGAAATGATCCTGTGAACAAGTGTTATACAGAGAAGAGGTACTCTTTTTTTTTTTAATCGTAGCATTAAAATCTAACTGCTTTCCAGCCAGAAGCTATGAGCAGTGTCCAGTTTTAGATTATATTTAGGCAAACTGTGTCTATCTTGAGAGTCAGTCTTCTCCTAGCCACTCGGCAAACATTATCATAATGTCTGTACATTTTGTGATAGACGAGTTTCCAGGCCACCCCACCCTCCAAACAGGCAGCATTGAGTAGAACAGGTGTTAAGTGTCCAGCTAGGGGTTCACTGTTGCTGCAGGTTAGGGGCACCTGGTTTCAACCCTGTCTGCATGGCTCAGGTTCTAGGAGTTGCGTCTTATGAGGAAGCTGGTGTTGGCTGTCATATTTCATATCCCCTGGCATGCTCTCCACACACAACCGAATTTCCTCCTTCTACCCCTCTCCTAGCCCACAGCGGCCTGTTGATTGGAGACATTTCCTGATTCCTTACCTCTCTCTGCCTGCACAGTATTGCCTCTTTAGGGGGGACAGTCCACTGTTCCTTCCTTTTCCCCTTTGTGAGCATCTCATGTGTTTTTAGGCCACAAGTAGAGGTGTGAGTGCCAGAAAAACATAGCCAACCCATGTCCACCCTGTCCTCATAATATGAAGGAGTTGGGACCCTGTGATATCTGAGACGCCTGCCAGCTCTGACGTTCTGGGAGCCTTGGCTCACTCATTCTCTCATGATTGGTTTTAACCGCACTGCCCCACCCCCCGCCATTTTTTTGCCAGTCTGGGGCCCTCCCCATTTACCTTCCCTACCCACTACTCACAGGCATCATAGTTGAAATCCATAAGATGTGAAAACCTAAGTGCAGAAATCACTTCTGACACCAGGTGTGTTTGTTTGCCTTTAACTTCCTTAACTGGCAGCTTTGGCCATTTTAATCCCGCCAGCCCTGCATGCACATGCACCTCTGCCAAATAAAGAAAGAAACCTTCACTACAAGGGTGGAGGGGTGATGGAGAGAAGTCTGAGGCATGAACCCACATCATGAACCTTATTATTCTCATTGTTCTTCCTTCTACTCTCATTGCCCCAGTGCCTGCCAGATAATACCTTTTAGTATAAAATTCTTCTCTTCCTTGACTGTTCTATGAGTATGAAAACTGGCAAGTGGGGAGTAGAGGGGCTGTCTTAGGTCTTTGACACAAAGGTAACTCCTTAGAGTTACAGGTACATTTAAAATCATT